CATACGACGTTTGTGAAGTGGAACATTCTGCCACCTTTGTCTCACTTTCTCAGTGACTGAAGTAAAAAATGGTGTTGGGAAAAATCTAAAATATCACGTAACTGCCCAGTATGATAAAAACACTGCAAACTCTCACATGAAATAGATTGAGTTTTTCTAAGAATCCTTGTCATTCAGCTCTCAGATCTCACAGGGAAGCATCTCCCAACCTGTCATTCATTTTATATGATAATTATGTAGCCTCATTTATTTTTGCCTTCTTTGGTCCCATTTGCACTGGGACTGCCTAATTTAAATGGCAAAAAAAACTTGCACATATTATCCGAATTCTTAACCAGTTGGCGGTGTGGGGATGTCCTGTTAGGTGTGAGCTGGTTTCCGTGGGAAGATAGACTGAGCTGTATCATTTAAAATGTCTACGTTCAAAGCTAATGGCTGTATTTCAAAATATTTTAAATATTTAAGAAATATTTAAAATATTTTAAAATGTTGATCTCAAGTGTGAAAAAGAAAGTTCTGATGAATGACCGGTCACTCTTCATAACATGAAAGTGGATCAAAATTAACATTTAAAACAGGAAATTTGGACGTTCATCTGGGATTTCCCTGGCAATTTACTCTTATTGGTGTGTAAATGCAAAATTCAGTAGACTTGTTGTGAAAACATTCTTTGAACATTTTCAACTGGGTTTTAGTGGTAAATTGATCCAAAAGAAAAATTATAGAAATAGCAGTGACACTGGCAGTGTCCTAAGTGTTTGGAGGAAAAAAGGGAGTTAATGTTGTGTTCCTATCTCTCAGAAGCAGGTGACAATGGCAGTGTGGCCAACCGTGCCAACATATGATGCCTAATTGCAAGTGTGGTTTGCTGTAATAGCCCAACAATTACAAACTTACAGGTGGACTCGTTCACTCAGGAAAAAGGTATGTGTGTGTGTGCACTGCTGTGGTCATTGGAACCAGCCCAGGCCCTTTCCAGAGTAGCGATTAAGACCAGAACTGTAAATGCGTAAAAAAGAAAGATAATGGCAGTTAATTTCTTATGCAACTATGACATTAACGTTAAGGCTTTCGTTTTTCACTCATCAACTACCTCACTCAGTCTCCTCCTCTGTCACCTTCTGTCACCTAGGGAATTATTTCATTTTTGTTTGTTTATTTTTGTTTTCATGAGGAAAAATAGCCTATTCTTCAGTGGTTCAGATCAAGTGCGGAATTTTTCTGTACTGCCAGGGAACTGGATATATGGGTGGAGAGAAAATGAGAAGTAGATGTGTCTCTAGCCACAGAGGTGAATTTGAGATAGAAACCTTAGTTCCCATGTTTGCAATAGTCAGCCCTTTTATATTTCACCACATTTAAATTGTTCAAAATTAAACCCTTCAGCATAAAGTATCAAAGAAGAAGAAACACCGTACACTCAGTTCCTCCCTGGGTTTGCCCCTCATTGAAGGAAGGCGGTTGGACGGGAGTGGAAGCGAAGTAAATAATGATTTAACCTTTTTACTCTAACTTAGTTTCAAAATCGGTCTCTTCCGTTTCTCTTTCTGTCTATTGCACTATGACCAACATGGGTTGGGTAAAGTAGGGTTAGGAACCATGTGCAAAAGAATCAGTTACTGCAGGACCTGCATTTCTACCTGAAACTGGAGGAGACTTCACTACGGGGAAGAATGGGATTTATCCTTCTTGGTTGGAAGGAGAACTCATTAAGAGTTAGCTGTTGGTATGTATTGGTTGTCTTCTTTCATTCAGTTTAAGGTTTTCCTAGTTCTTGGTATGTCAAGTGATTTTTTATTAAAACTTAGACATTTTTGTGTGATGTTATAAGACTTTAAATCTTATTGAAACCTTTGTTTTAACTGCCGTTGTCTGACACTTCTCCAGCACGGGAAGCCAGGGGGAGGTAAAGATCCAAGTTCCCCACTCATCCTCTGCTGATAACTGGTGGCAGAAATCGAAGGAGGGGAGTCCTCATTACTGTTGGACATAGTGGGATTTCCAGATCACCATGTGTGCTCTCTGACCCCACAGTGGGTGGGGGTGGTCTTGTTCCCATTGGGCAGTGGTTTGATACCACCTCAATATCGGGAGAAAGCAGGAGGAGAGACACTTGGTTACGCTGGGTAGGGGTGGAAGTCCAGGCTCCCACATGGTCTCCATTGACACTGTAGAGGATGCTTCATTACCAGCTGGCAGGTGTGAAGGTCCTGGCTCCCTACTTGGTCTACTCTGACACCACTCTGACAGGGGTGTTGGGGCTCCTTGTCTGAGCTTCATGTGGGTGGAAGTCTAGTCTCCCCACCCAGCCTTTGCTTGCATGGATGGTCGTAGTTTCTTCTCTGGTCTTTGGATGATGTAGAGCAGTTATTATGTAAAAGTTTTCTGTCTTGCTAGGCTGTCCCTTTCCTGCTTCATTGGCTAGAAAGAGCAGGCTTTTGTTGAGGCTTTTTTGGTCTGTGCCCATTGGTGTTTCCAGGTTGGTGACTGCTTAAGCTGCAAGTCTACTATGTGAGAGAGAAAAAGAAAATCAGGGATCTTACCTCCGTGTTGTTTCTTGGATCCTGAGCTCACAGGATGGTCTACTTTATTTTCACCTTGCAGAGTCTTCTTATGTTTGTTTTATATAGAACATTCAGGGTTTTTTGAGTTGCGCTTAGCAGGAGGAATAGGAAAAAGGAAGTCTGTTCCATCTTCCTGGAAGCAGAAGTCCTTGCCATTCAATTTTTGTTTTAGTTTTGTTTTTCCTGATATTTTGTTATGTAAGTTTTGAAGATGAAAGAATTATATAGTTAACCACTACATATCCACCACCTAGATTCAACCCTTAACATTTTGCTATATTTTACTTTATTGTATATTTATCCGTCTGTCCATTCCATCTATTCATCCATTTATTATTTTTGATGGACCTTAATATACTTTACCTCTAAACATGTCAGCATGCATATCATTAATTGGACTTCACTATTTACTTATGGTTTTTTAAAGATAAATTTTACATGAAGTGAAATACACAGTCATAAATACCGTTTGATGAGCTTTATGTAATCTATCCCTTGTTGAGATAGTTTCCATCACCCCAGGAAGTTCCCCTGAGCCTCTTCTCAATTAATTCCTACCTGCATCTCACTCCAGGAAGCAACTACTGTTCTGATTTTCTTTCTTCTTCTTTTTTTTTTTTTTGCCGTAAATTCATTTTGCCTCTTTTAGAACTTCATATAAATAGAACCACACAATATGTACTCTTGTGTGTGTCACTTTTTTTCAGCACAATGTTTTTGGAGATAACAGTGGTTTATAACATTATATGAATTTCAGGTGTACATCATTATATTTTGTTTTCTGTGTAGAGTACATTGTGTTCACCACCCAAAGTCTAATTGCCTTCCGTCACCATACACACGTGCCCTTTAAATTCTTTCACCTCCGCTCTCCCCTCCTCCCCTCTGGTAATCACCAGTCTATTCTCTGTGTCTATATGTCTGATGGTTGTTGTTGTTGTTGTTATCTTCCACATATGAGTGAAATCATATGGTATTTGGCTTTCTCTGTCTGACTTATTTCACTTAGCATGCCTTCAGAGTCCATTCATGTTGTAGCAAATGGCAAGATTTCCTCTTTTTTTATGGCTGAGTAGTATTCCATTTATATCACATCTTCTCTATCCATTCATCCATTAGGTTGTTTGCAAGTCATGGCTACTGTGAATAATGCTGCAGTGAACATAGGGGTGCATATATCTTTTTGAATTAATGTTTTTGTGTTCTTTGGATAAATACTCAGAAGTGGTATAGTTGCATCATATGGTAGTTCTATTCTTAATTTTTGAGGAATCTTTTTACTGTTTTCTGTAGTGGCTGCACCAATTTATGTTCCCCCTAGCAGTGTACAAGGGTTCCCTTCTCTCCACATCTGCTCCAGCACTTGTTGTTTCCTGTCTTTTTATGATAGCCATTCTGACGTGCATGAGGTGGTATACCATGGTAGTTTTGATTTGCATTTCCCTGATAATTAGTGATGATGAACATCTGTTCGTGTGCTTGTTGGCTATCTGTATATCTTCTTTGGAAAAATGTCTGTTCAGGTTGTCTGCCCGTTTTTTGATTGGGTGGTTGTTGTTGTTGAGATGTATGAGTTCTTTATATATTTTGGATATTAACCTATATATATATATATTTTTCACATGCGTTCATGTTGTATATATCGATGGCTCATTTTTTTTATTGCATGAATAATACTATAGTTTATCCATTCTGGACTGTTTCCACTTTTTTGCCATTAAAATTTGATACATGGGATGACATAAGTCGTCGCTGTCTTCCTTCTGTTTTGAACATAGTGCAAGACAACTTAAGGTTTTGACTTTTATTCTGATTAATAAAACGTTTAAGGTACGTAAAGATATGTTCTGTCACATACAATACCCACATTTTCCACTTATTTCTTGATGTTAGTGATAGCTGTCAGTTTCTTTTAAGCGGAAAACTTTTTTCTAATAGAAGCAAAAGATAATTTTAGCATTGTAAAACTTACAATTTAGCTTCTTGGCACTAAATTTTATTTTGTGAAGGAGAAACCATGATTTTTAACTACACCGTAACTGTAATATTCATTACTGAGAATGTCAAACCAGCCTCTGGAGGACGATCCTGTTTTAGAAAATACTATTCCTGCACAAAATATTGATGTCGTTGCTGCACATGGCTTCCGCCGTGTTTCACAGATCCTTATTTGTCTGGCCCTACTCATTATTTCAATTTCTTGCTTCTCTTCTGTTTCTCCAAAATGATTAGCTAAGGACATTATAATTTCTTATTGATGGATTTACTGATTGATATCAGGGGAGTTCTACCAACTGGGAAATGGGGCAAAATAAGTGTTATGTGAGATTCCAATTAAAATGGGCATGTGTTCTGTTAACAGTGCAGGAAGAAATAGGTGATGTTGTTTCAAACTTTGATTGCAGCTTTGCTCTGACTTTATTTTTCTTTATACAGTTGATGGACTGGACAAAGCTTCTATAGCAAACTCAGATGGCCCAACAGCAGGTTCCCAGACACCTCCCTTCAAGAGAAAGGGGAAACTCTCCACCATCGGTAAAATCTTTAAGCCTTGGAAATGGAGGAAAAAGAAGACCAGTGACAAATTTAGAGAAACCTCAGCAGGTATGAATATCATAACTTTGTTAGAAGAGAAGATAAGTTGTTAAATTTTTCAAAAGGTATAAAATTGTGTCTTGCAGGGTTTTTTTTCCCCAGAAAAAATTAATCCATATTTGAAATGAAATTATTTCATTTAAGGATGGAAGAACTTAGAGTTCTGACTTGCCTTCTTTTCCTACTCACTTTGGCTTTCCAGTTTATTCTTGTTTTTAAATATATATGTGTAAAATTCATATAAAAAATGGACGTGTAGGGAGGGGGAGGTGAAATGGAAAATCAGAAGTGAAAATGTTATTTGCTTAGTATCCATTTATACACATACATACACACGTACATACTCTCTGTTATCTATCTACTTAGTTCTACCAGCACAATCCTATTTGTTAATTTAAAACAATTTTTAATGTCTTCTTTGAATGTATTTGTTCTGTGGGAAAAATTTAAATATCTATATAAATGAAAAGTGTTACTATACTTATTGTTTAATTTTAAATTTCCGTCATGTCCTTAGGACAAATAAATGGTCTCTGTCCTGGGCTGGGGGGTCATAATCCTATTGGTGTGAAAATTCTTATTGTTATTTTATTCTGCGGATTTGGTAAACCTTAAGAATTACATTATTTAGTGCCTTTCGTATGGACTCATGGAGGAAGCTGACTTTAAATCTCAGGCTGGAATCGAACCCAGTTTAAACAGATGTCCAGTATTAGTGGTGTTTTGTTTAAGATAGAAAGGTGTTTCTCTCTTAACATAAGTTCAGCTTTCTCCAAGCTTATTGTCCAAAACGATCCCTCTGTCACAATTTCTCAGTGCGCCAGTCTGCTATCGTCAGTGTGTACAGGGTAAGAGCGTATCTTACTGGTCGTTGCTGGGATAAGAGCTGTGAAATAAAATAGAAAATGCCCCACATAGCACAAGGATATGGAACAGGGACACCAAACTCCCTGAAGAAAATTGTCTCTGATGCATTTGCAGCTATGTAATTTCTTTGAGCATTTAATATTTAAAAAGGACTAACGTTACTGTATCTGGGATTGGTTTTGTTATAATCCTAGAGGAGGGGTGAGCATAGATGAAAGAAGATTGGCCATGAGTTGTTAAGTGTTTAAACTGGGTAATGGGTACATGGGGTTGATTATTCCCATCTCTCTACTTGTAGATATTGGAAAATTTCCGTAATAAAAAGATAGAAAAAGAATAGAGACTTGGCTTAGGGGCAAACAATGATAGCTTGATTATTCAATCCTCTTTAGTCCCCAGTGGGCTTCTTGGATTAGGAGGCAGTGGGACGTGGTGGAAAGAGTGCTATGCTGCTTGAGGACACCTGGGTTCTGGTAGTGTCTTGCCACCAAGGCGCCCTGTGACCTTGAGCAAGTCAGATCAGAGTTGAATGAGTTGAATTCTAGTGTGTTTTCAGTTCCAGATTCTGTTGTGGGTCCTTCACTCCTTCCACCCCTGGCTGGGCCCCTGTCCCTTGTTCTTGAGCTGTGAGTGGAACCACACTGGCCTTCTGAAGTGACTCTCTCGCACGTTTCCCTGAGCAGTAGGAGATCTGGTTCTTCAGGTTACCGTGGCTGCCCAGGAAGGGAGGAGGGCTCCAGCCAGTAGCCGTAGGAAGATGTAGGAAGATGTTGAGAAGAGAGCGTGAAGTCTCTTCAGTTGTCTCTCTTGTTCTCTACCTGAATCTGGCTGCTGACTTCTCTCTCCCTAAAGCAGAAAAGAAAGCTACAAAGAGCCTTCCCTTCATCTTTCCTTGTCACTCCTTTTTAATCATTTTAATGGCGCAGAGGCTGTAACATTTCCACCAACTCTAAATATTTAAGAAAAGTCACTTTACGCCGCATCAGGGGTTATTTTATGTTACCCCATATTTATTGAGGATAGCCTGACCGTGTTTGCATTCTCTATTTCCTTTCCGAGTTCACACAGGATTTTATGTACGTTGAGCTCCAAGAGGTTATTTGAGGATACTGTATTCCTAGTTCCTAAAAACTACGAAACCACATTAAAAACCTGAAGAAATTATTAGATGCCTCATTGGGGTTTTTTTTGGCATCAAAATTGTGACATAATAGAATAAAAACAAGCCAATCAGATGTGTTAACAGTTCCTTGTGAATTCATCTGCTGCATTTACTTGCCTGATTTCTTTTTAAACCCAAATTATTAGTAATATTTTACTTGAATTTCGTAAAATGTTGTCGTGTCCCATTATAAAGTATTTTATTGTTACCTTCTATGTATGTTTATTTTAAGGCTTAAATTTCTACTGAGTTTTGTAGAATGCCTCGGTGAAGCCTAAAATAGAGGAAACTACAGAATGGTAGATCACGTTTGTTTTCACATTGAGGAAAGATGTCACATCCAGAGGAAAACTGGTGCAGTGGAAATAACCAAGAGAAAGGTGTTTTCTTCTTTAGTAAATTAGCTCAGAAATGGGGAAATCCAGCTGTCCAAATGTGACCAAGGCCTTGTACAGTCTGGCAAACTATAAGGTACGCCTTAGGCAAGACCCACAGTATCTTGGGATATGAAAGAAGTTGAATTCCTTCCAAGAAAACTAACTCTTCTCTATTTTTCCTTCTCTTAAACTCCTGGCGTCAGAGTCACGTGGATGTGAATCTTTCCGTGTTCCACTCCACAGTGATTAATACTGTTTTTCCTGGTCTGGGTTTCTGTTGTAGGAACTTTTAATTGGTCGTAGATGGGATGCAACGCTGATTTATTAATGCTATATGATAATGCCGTTGTAATCACACGTTTACAATGGTGGTGGGAGTTCACAAGGCTCCTGTCCTCAACCTGGTCTTGAGTCAACTGTATTTTGGAAGGCCATCTTGTCTGTAGGACACTCAGGGCCTGTGCCCTCGCTTCACGTTCTCTGGCCTTGTTTTAAAGCAGAAAGTTACTTGTGTCTTGAGCTCTGTTGAGACGGGGCCATAGGCTGCTTGGTTCTCGGGCAGAGGAGTCCTCTTTTCCGTTTCCTTTCCCAGGTGCCTCTTCACTTTTTATCTCCTCAGTGAGGGCCTCCCTGGGTCCTACCAAGCTCAGGATTCTCTTCTTTCCTTGTCTTTAGAACTCAAAATGTCATTTACACCTTTTTTCCTCCATAATCATGTCGTCTTGTTCTTCTGGAGGACAAGAGGTGGTGGCTGAGCTTTCTCCTTCTGGATCTTTAAATGTGCGTTCATCTCACCTAAGCTCAGAATACAAACAAATACCGTATCTACACAGCTGTTCCTCTAACTCGTGCATAGTCTGTTAGCATCTAGACCAAACGTCTTGAACGCCCAGCCTGGGCCTGCTGCCTCCACGTTCCCTCCCCGCTCGTTCCTTTCCCATTGCGGTCCGCGCCTGCATCCAGCACTGCGCTGAGGCCACGCCAAACCTCCTCATCGTGAACCCTAGTTACTCTCTCATTTTCGTCCATTTCACCCTCTACAGCGTTTGCCGTTACTGATAGGTCCTTCCTTGATTTACAGAAGGGGTCGTTATCTTGGTTTTTTGACCTTCTTTCTCTCTTCCCCTTCTCATCTCCCTAAACCTTTGAGGGAGGTTTGCTCCATGTCTCAGCCCTTCCCTTTCTCTGAACGCGCCCTTCCGCATCACATCCTCTCTTCTCCGTACCCACATCCTCAGACCCAGACACCAGGCCCAAGCACGTCTGCCTGAGCCTCCGAAGGGCAGCACTGCCTGAGGACTGCCTGTTACTCCAGATTCATTCGGATGGTCTGTGTGTCTACAGGGAACGCATGGTCATGCCAGGCATTGTTCTAGAGCCGGGGATCTACAGCCAGTAAGCAACCAAGGTTCCTGCTGTCATGAAGTGTTCGTTGTAAAGAGGTGAGGTACTGATAGACGCCATGAGTGAGCACGAAGAGTGAGGGAAGAGGGACCGGTCCTATGTACGCATACGTTCCAAACCAAAACAAATCCCCGGTCGACCCCAGATGTTCTTGCTATTGCAAACATGGCTTTCTTTGGCCTCCAGACTTTGAACTGTGTTGTTCTTTGACTCTTTCTTGCCTGTTACCATCTTCTACATTCTGTTAGTTCCTAAAACCTTTCATTTTTTTCCTCCTAGTGCAGGTCTCTAGCATCAACCTTTCCTCTCTGTCCCCATTGTCTAGTCCTCATCAGTGTATGTCTCAGTATTTGCAGGTACCCTCTTTGCTATACTTAGGTATTAGCTGTACTAGCAATAGAAAGCTAGAGAATGCTAGAGAAAGCCGGGAGAGGCTGGGCTCTGGCCATGAGCCTCCCTACGAGGAGAACCTGACTGAGCTGGGGAGGCTGACAGAGAAGGTTCAGGGTGGCACGGGTGGTGAGGAACCCCAGAGGAACCGAGATAACGTTCCAAGTCTCAGGCCAGGCAAATCAAGCAGTGGGTATTTCACACCACAGTGATGTGTGTTCCACCCAGTAGGGCAGAATAACAGGGCCTCCAGGTGAGGAGATTTGGAAATCCAGGCAGGCCTGAGGAGTCAGGACATTCGTTACTGATCAGAAAGACTCAAACAGGGCCCTCACCCTTTTTGTAAGGAACGGGGAATATTGCTGGGAACCAGCACAGAAGTTACCGAAGGATTCAGGACGGAAACTCGCTGTATGAAGTGGAACACGGGGTGGGTTTGGCCTCCTCAGACCCCAAACCTCAGGCGCTGGAGCTCCTGCTGCTAGAGTGGCACAGCCCAAAAGCTGGGTGGCTGGAGAGAGCAGGGGTCCTTGAGGATTTGAGGAAGTAGGTGGACAGAGCACCCCTCTGTACCTTCTCCCTTCCAGATCATTGTGGATACCATCACGAGGAAATCTTCCTCAGGTGGAACTTGATCTTGTTGCTTCTTGTTCACAAAGTGTGACTGACTTCACATTGTTTCCTAAATGAGTTCCTGACTCCAGCTCTCCTCAGTGTGACCCCAACTGACCTTTCCTGTCTTATCTTTGTTAGTCGCATACCTTGGACTTCTGTCGCACAGGGTCGCTCACTGAGCATGCTCCAAGCCT